CAGTGGTGTGGGGCCTGGTGGCCGTGCAGCGAATGCCGAACGAGAAGGCGATCAATTACGCGCCAGCCGCAGCCTGAGAGCCCAGCGTCCCCAGACGCAGGGGAAATGAATTGGCGGCTCCGCTGAATAATTCATTGGAGGATGAGTGCCCGGCCCCAGGGGAAGGCCGAGAGGTGCTGTCCTCAGCTCCGGGTCTGGCCCCGCCCCACCCTCACCTGGAGGCCACTCTTCTCACGATTGCCCGGCCACCGCGTGGGCTGGGGCAGAAAGAACTGCCGGCCCCGTGAGCTGGTCTGCAGAGCCACCGCAGCCCCCACAGGCCCCCCCAACCCTCCCCCCACAGGTTTAGCCAACAGTGGGGGTCGGGGCACAGCCCAGAGTTGGCAAGCCCAGGCTGAGGGCCGGGAAGGGGGACGTGGACTCCCCTGGTACCTGATCTGAGAGGTGGACCCCATCCTGAGGGGCACCCCTGGAGCTCTGGGAGATGAGCTTAAAGTGAGGCGCCCTGGCAGGGAGCACCCAGGTGTCAGGACCCGCAGCCTCCACACCCCCGGACACGGTGATGGGGGCAGACGCCCAGGTCTGCAGGGAGAGTCCGGCCTGGCCCCCCTACCGGGCCCGGGCAGATCTGGTCCGTGGCCCCTGCCTCCGGGTCGGGGGGACGGACGCTCCGGCACAGCCACAGTCAGCCCCCCCTGAAGGTGTTACAGTGACAAGCTGGCCCCAGGGCCCCGGCCGAGTGGGGCAGAGCAGTTGGTGGAGGGGTGGACGCAGGAGGGGGTGTCCCAGCTGGCCTCCTCGCCACAGCCACCTGCCCCGCGGGCCCAGGCCGGCTCCACCAGGGCCCATCGGCACCAGGAGCTCCTCCCACAAGGACACAGAGGCCCGGCAGACCCCCGCCCGCATTTCCCTGGGAGACAAGAGTCAGGGCCCCTGCCAGGCCCTCCAGCCCAGGGTGCTGCCCCTCCCGACAGTGGGAAGGCAGTGGCTGGGTTTGCCTTTGGGAGGTGTCTCAGGGGGAGGGTTAATTAGCGCCGGAGCCGTGTTCCGGACGGAAGTCCATCTGGTTCCTAGTGGGCTTCGGAAAAGGCTGGTCCGGACAGCCCCACTGCCTGCCTGCTGGCTGCCCCAGCCCTCCAGGGGGTAGGGCGAGGGGCAGGGGGCGGCCCTTCCTTTCCAAAGGGCGGGTGTTAGTGGCGGGAGCAGGCATGGGGGCTCCATTCACCCCAGCCCTTTGGGGCACCTCGTGCACCGGTCAGCATGTCCCAGCTCAGTGTGGCGTGGGGTGCAGGGAGGTGATGGAGGCCTCAGAGGGCAGGGGAATTCAGAGGCCTGGCCTGTGCCAGGAGACCAGCACCCGGAGCAATCATGGAAGTCTTCCTGGAAGAGGCGAGCTTCCAGTTTGTCTCTGAAGGAATGACATGGCAAAGGGAGGGCATTCCGTTTGGGGGGCAGCATGGGGAAAGACACAGCAGGGGTGGTTAGGTGGGTGGAGGCAATGCGGTCAGGGTGCCGGGGAAGGCAGAGCCCGGCCAGGCCTGTTGTCACCAGATGCCCTTCTCCTCTGTCCTCTACCCAAGGGGCTCTGCTGGCCTGGAGCTGGCCCTGTGGGCCCGCGGCTTCCCCTGGCCAGGAGCCCGGCGGCTTGGGCTTCCTGAAAGGCACGGACATTCTGGGGAAATGCCCAGAGCACCCCTCACACGTGGCCACACCTGGCCGCTCTGCCCGGCTCTGCCTGCCCCACTGCCCATGTCCACAGACAGAAGCAGAGGGCACCTCCTCGGCCAGCCCTCCACGCTCCGCAAGCCCAGTGCTGGGGCCTCTGGCTTATCCTTAAGGACCCCCTGGGAACTGGAGTGGCATTGACAGCCATTCTCGGGGTGGGGAGGTCCCCGCCAGTGAAGTCTGGGGAACCACTGTGACCGGGCACCTAGGAGAGCCGGCCCCACCGTCGGGGAGCTCGCCTGGCGGGGGGAGGATGGCGGAGAAGGGGGGCCTTTGGACATCCCTCAGCAGCAGGGCCAGGCCCGCCTGGGGGGCTTCATGGAGACCCTCTCGGTGCAGGTGGAGGATGCCCTGCTGGACACCTACGATCTGGTGTATGACCAGGCGGTGAC